TCTGGTGCAGGGTGATATATAAGGATCTAGCTTTAGTTTTCTACATGTAGTTAACCAATTTTGCCAGCACCATTTACTGAAGAGGCTGTCTTCCAAAAGACATCTTTAACTCTGATTTAAATTGACAGTGCTACCAAAATAACAAAGGGTTCTGTTAGGCGTGTGGAATAATTCTGGAGGTGTTTTAGAATCATTGCACTCCATCATTATCAAAACCAAACCACCCAGCTGTCCCAATTACTAATTACTTATAACTAATTATTTATCCCATAACTAGTCTCAGGTCACCTTCTTCCCCCATAATCCTTGCTGCTCTAATTTTCTCACTGCCCTCTTGTGGGACGGAGTTGCTTCTTTCTTTCACTTCCCACTCATAGTTGTGCTCACCAGAAGCAACCAAGCAGTTAATTGATTATGGAATTTAAGACCTAAGAGAGATCTGGTTACAAGTCTTTCTCCTACCACCTACTGCTATTGTAGCAATTGGCAATCAATTAATCAGAAGTTGAATGTATTTCCCTGTAAAGGAAAGATAACTAAAACCTGCCTGACCTACAAAAGATGTTGAGTTGCTATGAAGAAACACAATTGACACAAGAGTAATCGACACGAGAGTACTTCATAAACTTGCTGCGAGAGGGAAAGCAAAGTTCAGCACCCTGAATGCGGTACTTACAAACCATATGAGACCTTTCCTTCGGATCCTGGCCTGCATGTACCAGGGAGCCACAGTATTTATGCTCTAGTTGGCTTCTGGGAAAACATCTGACTGAGGTGGAGCCTCAAAAGTGCTAGCTTAGATTCAGGGACAGTTTCCAGGCCTTCATGACACAGGACTGGCACTAAATATGTATGAAGAAATGGACAAATTCTTAGAAGATAACCTTACTAAGACTGAATCACAAAGAAACAGAACATTTGACCTGAAATCAATAAAGAATGAGACTGATCCATCACAAAACATCCAAGGGTTGGAGATGACTCTGTAATAAGAGTGCCAGCCAAGCAAGCACCAGGCCCTGAATTTAAACCCCAGTATTACCACCCACAAAACCAAGAAAAAGCCCAGAACCAGAACTATATGGCCTCATTGCTAAGCACTACCAAACATTTAAATAAGAACGAATACCGATTCTTCTTGAATTATTCCAAAATAAAGTTGAAGCAAAGGAAATTCTTTCAGATACATTCCATGAGGCCAGAATTTCTGTTATATGAAAGCAGACAAGGCAAGAACACAAAAAAGAAACTTCTTTTGAAATTATGGCTGTGTAATGTTATCATCCACTAGGTATCTTGATGAGCACAAATCAATATAGTCCATAAGCATACATGCAAAAATACACAAAAAATGTCACAAGTTGTCTAATTCCAAACCTCTCTCTTACACTGTCTCGAAATTACTATTGGTGATTTACTCACACATCATCTAAACATCTTTGTTTAAATGTATTTATTATCATTGTAGACCCATTCACTGCCTTCCTTTCCAACAGGTAAAATAGAAAAGCTGACTCACAAAGGGAATGAATACATTTAATGAAAATATCTACTTATCAGTTTTCTTTGGGGTATGACAAGATCCTTCCCCTGATCATGGTTATTTTAATGTTTCTCATTTGCTCTTCCTTTTCATACATTTTCCTTGTATTTAATGAAATTGTTATTTGTGATGTAAAGAACTGAGCAAAAGATTGGACTTTTTTCACACCTGTAATCAATCCCCAGGCATTCAGGAGGGGAGGAAGGAGAATTGCCAAGTTCCATCCAGTTTGGGATACAGAGCAAGACCTCATCTCCAAACATTTAGTTCATTCATTCATTCCGGGAGAAAAGTATCCTCCACACATACACAAGTTGGAAGGAGCCCAGGTCTAGCTCCCTCCTCCACTCCATTATTTCCCAATAGTCCGCGTGTGCTGCCTTTAACTGTCAACTATTTGCTCCAAGTTGTGACAGAATCGCATGCCCTATGTCAAGAAGTTTGGGGTTAAAGTATAATTATAGGGGTAAAATACCGTTTTAATTCGCACCCTGACACCACAGATCTTAACATCACTCAGGGATACTCAATACACACCGTGAAAGTCCAGTGAACTGTTTTACGTGTGTGTGTGTGGGGGGGGGGTTTCCACATGCTGCAGTCACGTGACCAGCAGTCGAGGGGGGGTGTGTAAGAACTGCACATGCGCAGTGTCTAGGCGCCCGCTAGGCCCCGCCCCACCGCCGCGGGCGTAAGAGACGTGTGACGCGTCGCCTGCGACCCGCGCCGGCCTAGTCCGGGCGCCTTCCAGGAGCCGGAGTCGGGAGTCGGAGACTTCCAGTGTGGAAAGCTCGGGGTCGCCGACCCCGCCGCGTGCCAGAAGCACGGAGGTGCAGGGTGTCCCCGAGAGTCCGGGGCCGGGCTCGGCGG